GATACAATAAGATTGGTAAAGGAAATAAAGTTAAGCTTTTTATCCCTTATTTGAGGTCTAAAAACTGATCTTTTTTTTTATTTAGATACAAGAATTCATCAAAAATGTTGATTTAACTCAAACAGAAGAAGAAAATCATACAAGCTCCACATTAAGTGCAGTCTGCATCCTGAAACAAGCATGCTCTTTGTTCTTTGAAGCACACTCAGAGAAAAGCTCATCTGACTTCTGAAGTGGTGAATAAAAATCCCCACAGTGACTTTTACAAACAAAATGAATAAAGTGTAAACTGAATGCCATCACTGCACTGTGTCCTTTGCAGCAGCTTTAGCTTCCACTCACGCTCCACATCGTTCAGCTTGCCCCGCTCCTCCTCCAGCTTCTTCTTCAGACTCTCGCTCTCCTTCTTCAGAGATGCCAGGGTCTCCCCTTTCTGGAGCCCCTGACAAGCCATCTTCGTGCACCAAAATGACACAGAAAATACAGGAGAGAAAGAGAAATAGGGGGAGTTAAAAAAGAGAGGAAGGGAGCAGAGGAAACAGGAAAATGTGGAGAACCACCACTGTTTGTGTGTTGGTTAGAGGTCCATTGGAATAGCCCTCCAGAGCAACAGTGATGCTGTTACACTCACACTCTTTTTTTATTTTAGTCTCCTCCCCTCTCTGCCCCTCCTCTATCTATTCTGCTATTCAAGAACGCTGAGGGCTTTTAAAAGCCAGAACAGCAGAACTAAAGGGTTCTCTCCTCCAGGTCTTGTTTCTAAATCTGGATTAAAGCCGGAAAACAGAAATCTCCTAACATGCAGAAACGCTTAAAAAATGAAACCCCTGCCTGTTTATATTAACATTTAGAAAAAATAAACTGTTTTCATGGTTCTGACATAGGGTTCATTTACTTCTGTCAGAAGCAGATTGTGGAAACAGCAACGTCAGAATGGGCTTTTTAGCTAAATTTGGGGTAAAAAAAAAAACAAACAAAAAGTTACATGTTGAAAAAGTCTGATATATCAGCCATTCAAGCATTTGCTTTCAAGCTGTACTTCCAAGTAGAATAACCAAGATAACCTATAAAGCTCCTATAATGCATTTTATAGTTGTTTTTACTAATTAAAAGTAAATGCAGGCATTTATATTAAGCCAGTTTCTGAGGTAAAGTCAAAGTGTGTCTCTACTAGGGCTGCAGCAGATGATTATTTTGTGATTTGATTAATCTGTCGATTCGATTATTTTTATGTTTAATTGATTAAGGATCAGATAGCAAAAGGTTTCTTAAAGAAGATTTTTTTGTGAAATGAAACCAGGTGAAACTAAAACTTTCCCACTTGAGGAGTTCTGGATAGAGCATACTGGCAGTTATGACACTTAAATGAATAATGTTAACATATTTTTTTTACTATTTAGGTAACTACTGCTCAAAGTGGGTCGCTCTGTCATGTAAAAGCATGTTTTTGAGCCTCTACACTGCAGCTAAAGATGACTAAATTATTTGATGATGATTTTAATAATCGATTAATTGTTTCAGCTCTTGTCTCTACATGCTTTGCACGTAGAGAGGAACATCTATTTCTGTTCTTCTTGGCCAAAAAGCTCAAACTCAATCAGATTGGTGAGCAGAAACCTTGAGGTCTTGCCACAGATTTATTGTAAGTCTAGACTTTATCTGGGTCATCTTAACCACAAATATGCTTTTTGTTGTTTATAAAATCTAAAAACCTTCTTTAATAATTTTTTTTATTGAGTATCTGGGTAAAAAGGAAAGAAAATTCCTCTCTATTTATAATCTAGTCTTTGTGTTGATCTATTATTCATCATTTCAAATACGGTAAACTAAATGTATGAACTTTAAAGAGAAAATATTTAGGGGGTATTTTTTTTTTAGGGTGTGCAGACTTTAATGGGTCCCTTTGAAATGATTGTAATGTTTTCAGCTCAGAGGTGAGAACTGAATGGCAGCTTTTACCATTTCCACGCAGAAGGAGCAGTAGTTGATGGCTTCGCTCTTGATGTAGATGTTCATCAGAGGACTCGCCTTGCTGCAGCTGTCGCATGGGCCAAAAGTGGCCGCCATGAAGGTCTGATCACACATGGCTGCAGAGGATCACAGACACGCCTGGAAATAAAGAGAAAATACTCAGAGGGGTGACCAGGATTTTATTTAATCAAGGCTCTATTTGTGAAGGGCTGGTTTTCAGGGTGGTAGTTGGTGGACATGCTGCACAGGAGATAAGCAGCCGGTAATCTACTGCAGCCTGATCCTTCTAAGAGCTGCAGAGGAGAGCAGCTATTCTGGGAAACACACAAACACTCACAGCTCAATTTGTTGCACACTGATGCAACTCTAACTTATAAAGGTCTCGTCTTCTCAGAGATTTAACTATTTAAGACTTTTATGAGTTATTAAGGTTAGAAAAATTAGATAGCAGGGGTCAAACGTCTTTGATTCCTTCTAGGATTGTTTATTGTTCTAAACAGAATGTATGTAGGTTTAGATTCCATATTTACTAAAAGTTATTCTTAAAAAAATTATATTGTTGAGCTTCTATATTTCATTAACTTCTTCCATGTATTTCCATATTAGAGATAAATATTTAGTGTAAAACGTTTGGGGTTTAAATTAACTTCCATCTGAGCGATAAACCCAGTGACTATAAAAGATGTTATTCTAACTATTTTAGGCAAAATCAAAACACCTTACCACAGAAGATAATGCTTCTCTCTCTACAGCAGGTACCTGCTCCTCTTGTAGTTATGAAGGAGTCGTTCCAGCGAGGCAGATTGATCACTGAGGGGCAGAGAGAACAGTAATCTACTTAGGAAAGTGTCTTAGCTGGGAATCTGCTTGCTTTATCTTCAAGGCTCTGAGGATCTGTTTAGAGGTGGGAACAAATGTTTGGTTATGCTAGGCTGCCTGAAACTGCATTATTTGAACAAGGAATCATAAAACCTGACTGAAAACATAATACTAGAGAATAAAGTATTTACCAGGAGAAACCTACCCTGCAGTGTAGATCTATGGTGAAGCAGAAACAAATTGTTTAGACTTTTACCTTTATGCTGGTACCACAGACGCTGATCTGTAAAAACTGCTACAACAGATTATCAGCCCAGGCTGTCTCTATGATGAATACTTTAACATTCAGAGTACCCAAATCAACCAGCATGTTGTCTTTGCAAAAACACTATGTATGCACCGTGAATTAAAATGTGCAGATCTGTTGCTGAAAGTATGGAGAGAGTCTCTTTCGTTGAAAGTCAGAGCAGTCGGGACTGCAAGGAAGAACGTGATAAAAATAGTAATGGATTCAGGTAATTGTTAAACACAGAAATGCTTTAGCAGAATGAGAGCTTTTGGAAACTTTCATGCTACCAACTTGGTGAAAACAGCTCAGGATAACCTGAACCACGTTAAGCTTTATCAAAAAGGAACGTTTTCAGCCTAGGCTTAAAAGTATCTGCCTCATGGGAAAAAACTGGTAGTTCCTTCTACATGCTGTAAACCCCAACGTTCAAAGTTATTAAATAGAATGGTGTGTAATGTGTGTGTGTTCTATTATCATAATTATGTCAAGTTTGTGTAAATGTTTTTGAGTAATTGAAACAAAAATGTCTTGATTATATTGAACTATTTGTATATTAAATAAGCATAACTTAAAAACATTTATTAAGCAAGTAATTAAAACAGAATGTAACTTTTTCTATTTTTTCAAATAGGTAAGATTTAATGATGAATGTAATTTATATACAATAAATGTTATTAATATAGAACATGACATACAATAAAAATTAAAAAAACTTTATTAAGCAAAACTGATCCAACAAATAACTCATAGTAACCCAACACAAGACAGAATTTCCAATGCTAAAGTGCTGCACCAAGCAGCCTAAACCATGGAGACAGGAGAGTTCTGCCACGGGTTGACCAAGAAAGTTAGGTTTCTAGGGCGTTCAGTTGTGCGGCAGAAGTGCTTGGCGGTGTTCTGTTGGATGAGCTACCCGTTCAGACCAGCATACCCACAGTCAGTACCCATTAATGCCTTTAGTTTATCCCTTTAATTTATCCCTTTGGTTTTGTACGAAAAATGGACTTTAAACTACCTCAATGGGCGTGTATCACTTTAGTTATGTATAAAAAAAACGATTTAATTACTTACTTTTTGGTGTTTTACGAAGCGTACAAAACCAAAGGGATAAAAGCAAATCTGATGTCTTGCACATGTGTATTGACAATGGGTATGTTGATCTAATGGGGTATGCTGATCTGACAGAACAGCAGCCCATTCAAAATGCAGGTAATTCTATACTTTTGTTAATTATTTTACAAAATACACAACCATTATGAATGAATGATTAAGAGGTTTTACTCCATATAATTATATTAGCCTTGTGAAATGTGATATTTCACCCAGGGCCTGATTTGATCAAAATGACTCATGTGTAACATGTATAGATGTTAACATTTGGTTTGAATGATCAAAGCCGAACGTAACCTACATATAATTTTTTACTAACATAATGGGTGTCCCCTGGAACTATTGAAGCTCTGCTGTTCTGTCAGACCAGCATACCCATAGTTAGTGCGTGATTTAACATTAGGCAATACTAGGCAGTTGCCTAGGGACCAAAGTTCCTGGGGGCCCATAAAACTCTCTTTACATGTATGGTTAATACAAGTATTCCATATTTGTGCTCATTAATTATGTTATTGATAAAAATCCTTTTACTAAAATGCCATCTGAACGCTTGTAATATTAAGTGTGTCTCAGCCCCCCCTTCATTGTCCTCCACATTGGATCAGTCCATTTGCTGCACATGTTCAGA